CTTGTTTTGAAAACATTTGGTTTCATCAAAGGGTTGGTTTGGGTTTTTAATTGCTTGCATTATCGCCGTTCGTAACTCTTGGCTGAGCATTTCATCTGTACACTTTGCCCAATAAACTAATAAATAAAGCACGAATTACCCTTCGTAACGATTTATAGATGACGCGCAACAATGACTTCGAAAAAGAACTTGTACTGGTTATAAAATAAGACATTTGAAACGCAGAACCTTCATTCAAACAAAAGACCACAACGATAACACGCCAGACGTCACTGTGACATTTAGCGTCCTTGCAGCATAAACATTTCACTTTAAAAGAAAAAAGTACATTTTACATTTAACACCAACGGCTTGCAGATTGAAAACAAAAACCAGTTAAAGCTATTTTCCGCTTACCCAAACTACGTTTGGTACTTTTCATCGAGAATGGAATTGTGTGCTTGCATTTCCACAAACAGCTATTTTATTTTCGTTTCATGCGCTCCATCACAGAAATTTGTTCTCGTACACCCGTAGCTGTCAACGCGGGCCGGAATGCAATTCCGAAGGTGTCGAATCCGAGCCGCCCGCCACCGATGGCTACGGCGTGCTCTCAATGGCCCGCGGGGTAACAAATAGCGAGGGCCGGCCTCGCACGCGATGATAGCTCAGCAGGGACCACGCCGTGCATGCCGCCAGTAATTGGGTTAGCACCTCCCCACTCCGCTTCCCCCCCCCCCCCCCCAGCCACGTTGACAGGCGGTAAAGCTTCACGCGATGCATCGCCTTCCGGCACGTCCGACACTCTCACTCTCAAAGGGCGCAGCGGTGGCCAGATGTTAACTACGTCGCCTGGTATGTAGGAGGTCGTGGGCTCGATCCCAAACCTGATGCCTGTATATTTGGCGTTCGCGTGTTTTCTCTCTCTCCCCGTGGTCGCGTGGATTTTTCTCCGGGTCCTCTGGTTTTCCCCTCCACATTTAGAAAACACGCGTTTAGAGTATTTGGTCGCTATAAATTTACACTTGATAAGCCACTTGGTTGAGCTATCATCTGTGGCCAGGTCGCTTCTTAAACAGAGCTGAATAACTCAGTGGGCCTTACCTGGTAAAATAATATAAAAAAAATAGTTTTTAGTTTAAGGAGCAAAAACCATGACACACGAACTCCGGTGGTCACCCTGGCAGTGGCGGCTCTTGTCTGGCCATCGAACAAAGACGGTTACCGCATCGAGCGCTTTCAGGTGCGCTTCTGCGGCCGTCTGGAACGCTCTACCTTCCGATGGTAGGAAACCACTGGAGCTATATGCACTTTTAAATCTAGATTGAAAACTTTTTTCTGTAGAACTGATTTTTGTGATTAAAATGTTGTCCTTCCCCCGCACCTCCGATCAGCACGGTTAGCCATGTACGGCGCGAAAGAAGTTCAACATACACACACACTCGGGGTTGGTACGCTTTTACGCTTGACGTTAAAACGAAAAAGGACTCGGGAGCTCAACATGAAAAAAAATCACGGAGAAACAAGAGGAACAACAATGCATGGCATTGAAAGCAATAAAAACGACATTCTCGACAAACGTTTCGGCCTGTGTATGTAAGACGGACGAGAGGGCAACACGACACTCATGACGGCTGCGTTGGTTTCTAGCGGTTGTGCTGCCGTGAAGCTCCCCCGATTCGCCTTCGGGTTGCGCCACGCGTCCGACGTTTCGCTCCACGCGCCAAGGGCTTTTCTGCACAAGCTGAAATTTCTCGCGGAACATTTAGGCTTCCTGAAGACGCTCCCGGCTACGTGAAAGCGAAGCGTCGGACGTCGTGCGGAACAACGCGCGGCACAACCCTAAAACATTCACCGGACGGCCACGCCACACGTCCCGCACGACAGCGGCGCTCTTGTGGGCAACGGCGTCTCATGCCAAGATCTGCTCGTTCCACACACTGCGCTAACGGCCGCATCGACTTTACGAGGGATGTAGGGAGGCCGCAATTAGGCTGCCGAATTAAACGGGCTATCTCGCGAAGAGCGCAGTTGGCCACGTACGGTGCGAAAGAAGTTCAACGTTACGTCACGTATGCACGTAACGTTCGACTGGCTGGAGACTACGCCAAAGACCTTGGGGCATCTCTGTCCTTCAGCGAAACACTCTCCCCTGGCCTAATACGCGGCGTATCTGAGAAGATGCAGCGGGTCTGTTAAGAGCAATTTGAATCAGTGCTTTGGCATAAATTTAGCAGTCGTAAGTGGGGGTTGTTTTTTTTTTACAGAAAACGCACGATCCCATCGATGCAGTGGATACTGAAAGTGAATTTTTTTTTTGTCAATCAAGCGCTATTCACCAAGACAAGTGACTCTTCGCGTTGTAAATAAATTAAGGATCGAGTTCGCCTTCACGTTAACTTGGGACAGTGAATGATTTGTTTTCGGTGGCTTCGAAACATTAACGACGGACCACAAAAATAACGAAACCGCGACGGGAAAAAACGCCACGACAAGATTACACGTCAACACTTAAACTGTCGCGCGTGTCGCAACCGATTGTTCCAAATACGTAACTTAGGGATGCGCCCTAGAATGCCACTTCTTGCTTTAAAAAAAATAAAAAAACACTCGAGATGCATTTTGTGAGATGCCTTCCATTTCTAACCCACACTAAATCTTGTTTAAAAAAAATTTTGTTCGTCGATACACACCCCGAATTGTGACATTCGCAGCCAAACTGGAAAGATCACGGGAGTCACTGCCAAGGGTCAAAGGTTGGCACGTTGGACTTGAGGTTCAAAGGTGCCGGGTTGATTCCTGGCCAAAAGGCAGCTGAATTCTGAGGCAAGCTTTCATTTCAGCTGATTGTTATGTTTGGCCATTGAGAGGCAAAAGGGGACGACGCATCTTGGTTAGGCGGCTGGCACACCGATTTTCCTGCAGGCGGGGGGGGGGGCGGGACAAAGTATGGGTATCTATACATCCCTTTCCCACTCCAGCGTGAGGAGGAGACGAGCTGCCTCCTTACGGGTGGCGTTTGCCGTGTCGAGGAGGACGACGACCCTGCACCGTGGCGATCAGGTGTTGCTCCGAAGTCGTCTCCTCCTCGCCGCTCCGTGCGCACCTTCGCCGCCATTCCGACATCGGCTGGCCGTGCAAGTTGCCACGTGGATTTGTCGCATCGCGGGACCATTAAGACGGCCCGACGTCTTGTTGGAGGCATTCATCCAGCAGTGGATTGATCATGGCTACTGCTAAATGATGATGATGACGATTGAATGAGTTTTGTGACTGTAGAAAGCATCGCCACGGGTGAACAACTTGACTTCGAAAATTCAACAACCGCTTTGGACGTCCCGAATTCTCCAGTTCCCCCCCCCGCGGCGTATAAGCAAACGCAACAGTTTAGTCGGAACCCTGTAGCGGCGGCGGCAGCAGCAGCAGCAGCGACAGAAGCAACAGCAGCCCGCAATTCGTCGCTCCGAGTCGGCAGCGTCGCCCGCTTTGATCGTCTCATCGCTTCGCTTCATTCGCTCGCTCCGAGCCTTGGCCGCTCACCCACCCCCCCCCCCCCCTCCGGCGCGTCCCCCCAGCGCCAACGCGAGCGGCGAGCGGCGTCACCGTCTCTCTCTCTCCGGAGCAAAGTCGACAGGGAGCCCCAAATGTTACCGTACCTATTCCGTGGGCCGTTCGTCGCTGCGCGCACGCCTGTGCTTGAGAGCGCGCTGCAATAAGACGCGCCGGAGGAGATCAAACGACAGTCAGAGCACCCCTTCCGTGTGTGTGTGAGAGGGGGGGGGGTGTTTTCTTTTTGCAACAACGTAAATTAGTCGGTCGATCGACAGGTTCGCGTGCGGTGGGGTAGATTTGCGGTCGCTCGCACCTCTTCAAAAGACGTCCGGCCGTCGTGGAAGAGTAGGCCAAATATCCTCGAGAGAGGCTCTCTCTGGAGCTCCGTCTAGTGAAGGCCCCTTCCAGCAGCAGTTGGTGTGAGCAAGCGCTTGCAGGGGCTGCGCATTTAACCTATCCATAGACGAGATTGAAATGCTACAACGAGTTTTGGTTAACAGAAAAAAAATAAAGCTTGTGTTGGGGATAAGCTTGCAGTCGCTGCTCACCCCACACTTGACATCCTTAATAAAACAAAATACTTAACTAAATGCCACGTGCTTTTATATACTTGAGTAACACTAATCAGCAATAGTTATCCGCTACGGCTATCATCATCATCGTCGAGGCATTGGTTGATGCCTGTGGACCTTTGGTGGTTGTATTGGCAGTGTATTTCTCTCTTTTGTTCAAACAAACCAATTTGTGAAACCATCAGCCGGAGCCTCTAGGCAGCAACAGCAGCAGCTGTGCAGTCCTTCTCAACGTCACAGGTCAGCTATCCATTCGAATACGCTTCAGCGAGACTAAGAACATGAAGGAAAGCTTCACGAGTGAAAGTTCTTCACGGCCGAGGCCGACGTCTCACCGGCGGAAGCAAAACCGAAAAATTTAAAGGGCGAATGAAGGCTTTAAAGGGGAAAAAAAACATGTGAATGACATCCACCTCCACGGGCAGACTGTGTGACGTGGCACTGCTGCTCCCTGGATACCAAATTCAAGTCACATTCCATCCCCCTTGCCAGAGAACTCTGCAGCACCGCCACCTTCTCTCAGGGGGCCTTCACTCGAACGACTCCCCCCCCCCCCCCCCCCCCCCCCCCTCGGCAGGGCGACGTCTTCGCAGAGCGAAAACCAAACGACGCGGCGCCGGCCGCGGGGCAGACTCCGGACATCTCCCACGCAGCCGCCTTCATCGTCGTCGTCGTCATCGTCAGACGACGACACCACCACCGTCTCAGCACCGCCATCCGGATGAATCTCGACGCTGGCGGCTCTCCATCTTTCCCCGGACACGAGCCGGCGGGTCCCCCCCCCCCCCCCCACGGCGTGCGGGGGCGGCAGGGAGAGCAAACAACGGCGCGAGTTGGGGGGGCGGCGGGCGGCCAGAGGGGGGGCCACTGCCGCGCAGGGGGCGGCGGGGTGCGGGGGGGGGGGGGGGGCGTCGCTCACGCCTGCTTGGCGTGCAGCATCTCGATGAGCAGGTTGTTGCACGGGACCTCGCCGTTCACGTGCTTGCAGTAGAGGTAGTCCTCGGCCTGGATGCTCATGGAGCGGATCTCCGGCAGGCGCAGCAGCAGCTGCGCGAACTTGTCCCCGTGCTGGTGCTGCTGCTGCTGCTGGTGGTGGTGGTGGTGCAGCGGGGGCTGAGCGGCGCGGCACAGCGTGTACTCGAGCAGAGCGGCGTTCACCTGCTCCTGCACGTTCTCCACCAGCGCCTGGTTCTCGAGGAACTTGACGTCTAGCTCCGCCAAGGTGCCGGCGGGTGGGCGGGTGGGCGGGGGACGACACGGTCAATAGGTAAACGAATAAACAAATTGTTTTGTGAGCAAGAAAAAAAATAATAACAACCGCAAAGGCGGTGGAAGACTCTTTGCTTGGCTAAGGTCACGTGACCTCGCCAAATGTAGGCGACGCATCAACCAGCGTATCAGCTCACGGAATAAATGCTTTTCAACACCCAAATCGCCATGAAGTTGAAAAATACAACCGCGGTGCTTACATTTTAAATCACAGGCGATGTCTACTGCAGCATCGGTGCCACTATGTGGGAACCTGGTGAGGTGAAGTCCCCCAGCCTCCGTCCCACCACTTCCCTCCACTCTCCCCCCCCCCACCCAACGCTTAAGTTCCTCCGTCGGCCGAGGCTACCATAACGAAAGCTCCTTCAAGAATCTCAAACGGAGGGCGGCCTCTTGCCACGAAGAGATAAGCTCGATGACCTTTGGATCTGTTGCTGCTGCTGCTGCTGCTGCTGCGGACAAAGAGACGGCCAAGGCATGATGACGCGCACGCCCGGGCACCCTGCACTGGCCCTGCCACGGGTGGCCCCACGCTGCCAAGTCAGTGGGGTAATAACGACTGGGGGCATTGGTGGACGATCGAATCGTTTTTGTCTTAACGAAGGCGAACGACAACAACAACAATAATAATAATCGTGATAATCATTTGCGTCCATAGATCCAAATGCGCGCGCGATGCCAATCGTTGGGTTCCAACAAAAAACAAATCTCGGATGACGCGACGCGACACGCTTAACCTCACGTTAAACCCCGTCACTTGTGTTTGCTTTGCGCGGCGAAAATCTCCCAAAGAGATGGCCCCGCTCATTCATTGTACATTTCTAACGGCGAGGCCGTACTGCAAGAGGGATTTTAAAAAAGCGGAAAAAAAATATATAAATATAGTACAGTAACGCTGCTATGCTCCACAGGGCAAAGAATTTCCGATAGCGTTAAACCCGAAACGGAGGGGCAAAGTCCCACAAATCACCTACCCGGTCGGTTAAATTACCGTCAAATAAGAACTTAAACAAAAACAGGCTCTGGTCATATAAATATATTGCCGTGCACGTGATAATTTAATTACCAGTTTAACGAATGAATATCCTGTGCAAACATCGTCATGCCATCGTATCTTTTCTCCACAGCATTGCAAACACAATTCAGACCGATGGCAAATAGACGTTTTATTACGCAGAGCACACCTCACAATCTTCAGCCCAACAATACAGGCCTCCTACTAGGTGAGACTGCAACGGACTCTGCAAAAACGGCCCCTTACCTCCCCCGCACCCCCTTCCTGAAATAAAACGCCACAATTCAAATTGCCCTCCGCGGCACGCCGATGTTTTGAGAATGCCAGCTATGAGCTTGACGATGACGACGACCGTTTTACATTTTCGATAAACAATCTGTAACTCGGTCTCGATATTAAAATAGGACGAAAAGAAAACCGACACCCATGCAGGGCGCTTGTGGGAGAGCTCCCCTCTGGATATGCGCTGCGCTGCGCTCACTGTCAGCGTCTCCACCGCCAGGGCACGGTTGTGTTCTCAGTGCGATCCCCCCTCGTTGTTTAATAATCCGTCTAGACTTGTTTACCGACCAGAGTGTTTGTTGTGGAACTCGGTTGAGAGCATCTCCAGCATTCCCATAACATCAGCGGCCCGGCAAATCCAAACACGCTCGGTGACCACCGCCATCGTGCTAACATGACACAGCGCAAAGAATACATTTTATCGTTGAGGTTGTTTTTTCTTCCTCTTATTTTTCTTGCGCCCGTGTTTCAATTCTGATAACGGGAGCGTTTTTTCCGTATTTATTTTTTTTTGGTGCGTTTATTTACGAGGGGGCGAAATGCGCTGCGCACTTTCTGCTTCATTTGCGGAAAATCAACAACTTCATATCTTAGACACTCTTAGCTGATTGCGCGCCGTTTGTTTAAATATGAAGCGTTCCACATTTTCCCAAAACTTTCATCTGGCAAGGAACCCAATTTAACAAATTATTTAGCGAGTTTTTTTTTTTTCTTCCCCCCTGGTTTATTTCAAATATTTTTTGTTACACTAAAATCTCACGGTTTTTTTTTTTGCTATTGCTAAAAAAAAAAAACTCGCTCTCATTACATCACTCCGTAAAGCATCCGCACATTTTTGAAATTCCACTTCGGAGAAAAGAATTGCATCTCTGGGACGCACGTGACGGCGACGGCGACATGAAAGCGGTCGACCACGAGGCCGAAGCTCCAAGGAGCCTTAATCACAATTCCAGAAGTTTCCGACAAATCCCACCACAGCTCCAGAGAGATGAGGGGAGAAAAAGAAACTAAAAAAAAAACTGAAAAAATATATATATTAGAAAGAAAGTAAAACTGGAGAGATTTCTTGGCCAACAGGATTACAACACGAAACCTCTCGCCTAATGGCAAAATCATGTGGCGCAGTCGTTTCGAGCATAATTTACTTCTACAAAAAAAACAAGTAAACTACACGCAGATATATATTTAAATGGACTGGCTCGACTGGGAGTCCGTTGGCTCTGTAGCTCGGGGCAGGTGCATGGATATTGGCCTCACGCAGAAGCTCAGAGACGTACACGTGGACGTACGTGAAACTTCTTTCGCACCCGTACGTAGCGAACCGTGCCCATCGGAGAGTCGGGCCCGTTCACGGCTGCGCGCGTGAGCATTTGCGCTATTCAAGCAAGTTTTATCGCAACACAAGTGTTCATCGTCATTGCCACTATCAGCCATGCTCAATCCACTGCTGGATGAACGTCTCCCCGGATCCGCCACCTGAGTACCTGCACGCGCAATTATCCCGTTGCTCCATCTCTCTCTGTTGACGTCCTGCTGCCACTCCGTCGATAACATTTTGCAGAAGGGCTGATGTTTGGGCGATTTCCTTTTATTGGATGTCACAAATGTTAACATGTTGCCCATTCTTTTCCTCCCCTTTCCCCTCGCCCTTCCACTCCTTTCCAGTCTCTCTCCTACCCGATCGTGACTCCTAAGTACCCCTCTATCACGGCCACTCATTCCTCAGCCTATGCACGCCTCTGCAATCTAAATCATTAGATTATGTTACCGTTGTTTAACGTGTGAAGCGCCTTGAATAAAGGCGCTCTATTAATATAAAATACAATTTTATATTAATCACATCAATCTTACGTGCTCGGTTTGACAGCCTCCGCGCACAGCACGGTTTATAGGTTGCGGCGCGACAACGGTGGGCAGCAGATTTTGAGCGCGGGAAAAAAAAATCCATCGTTGTGCTGTACTTCTACGCCGCTGCATTCGTTCCCGGCGCCGTCACCGACCGGCGTGGTCAACTGCGGTCACGCGACCTGCACTGCCCGGCCCCGGAAACTACGGTCAGGGCCTCCCGCACGGCACACGAGGCCCTCATCCAGCAGTCGATTGACACAAAGGGCCGCGCGTGTACATTAGTAGCCGTAGGCGCAGCGTTTGAGACGATGCCAACGGGGAATGTGACTGGGGAGGCCCATAAGTCCGTCCGTTTTGTCAGAGAGATGCGCTGACTGCTTAGAGCTAAAGTAGGAGAACCGGAAAATCCCACTGATGCTGAAGACGAAAGACGGCCCCGCGTGTCTGGAATAAATCACAGCCCCTGGGTGGCGAGTGCCTGAAACACGTGCGTTAAAACAGGCCGGAGAAAATGTTTCAGTAAATATATATTTTTTTATATTTTCTACTACTTCGTTCAAATGTGGTGCGGACTTCTGGCACTGGTTAAAAGGCACAATGCCAAAAGAGCTTAGCGTGGAATGATAAAGCGCATTTTTATTTAAATGTTTTTTTTTACATGACATTGCCTGCAGGAATTGAACGCATCCAAGATTTTGTGCACCTGGGAGATGGAGCGATGAAATCAGTTTGTGTGCAGGTGCTTCCGTGAATTATTACATCGCGGAATCATGAGAGGTGAAGGTGGCTTGGGACACCTTCATCCAGCAGTCGATTGACCACGAGTGGTGACGGTGATTGATGATGATTGCTTAACTGGTTTGAAACGTAGCTGCTGTCTTTCAACATGGATTTTAAATAGATACCCAGTTGCTATATCGTGAAACATTTCCATGAAAATATACAGAACAATACATCTTGAATGTGTATAGAATTACTCGTTACAAATATTATGCTTTGGCTGCTTTCTCAAAGCTTTAGCACACCTGTCAACCCCGTATCAGTGCCTACCTTGCTACAGACCAATTCAGACCTTATTGGCCAGCCCGTGCTCTCATAACTCTCAATAGTCATCCTACAAAATCCCATCACAAGGGAGAAACACAGACAAATAGACCAAAAAACATGTTTTTGCCGGTATTGAAACGCCGTATGGCCCTGACAACTCAATTTCCCTGTACAAGAACCGTATGGGTTGACAGGTATGCTAGTGTCACACTCTACAGGAGACAAATGACTATTTGTAACCTTAGGCTGACTGTGACCCTGCCTTACGAGTGAATCCAATTGACATCCCAACCTCATGATTATCTGTGGGCCAAAAAGTTCAAAAGACTAGGATTCGTATTTATCAAGCTGCAAGCATAGCCTCCACCACATCTGGGCCAAATTCCAGGTTTCCAGTCCTGACGAAGCTCCCAGCAACGTGGACCGAAACGTCGGACGTCGCACGCCGAACAACGCGCGGCCCCAACCCGAAATCGCGTCGGAGAGTACCCGCGGATTCTTCACGCGGCGAACACGGCAGCTGCGTCGTTAACGCACGCGCGAGTACGCGCGTGCGTTAACTCTCCAGCGTAAACCCCGAAGAGTCTGGTGGGAGCACAGATGGACTCGGATTCAGGGCGAGCAGAAGAACGTTCCCCTCCCCTCCTCCTCCGCCCCCCATGGGGGTGCAGCAGAGAGTGCAGGTGCAGGACGTTAATTGGGAAACTTGGTCTCTCATGGAGGAGTTTAGAGGATCATTGCTCCCGCTCCCTGCCTCCCCGCACGCAGCCTTGAGGCCACGGCGCTGCTTTCACTTCATCAGTGACGAGATTCTTTCTTTTTTTTTTTAAAGCAGCACTTGGGGCCCAACGTCCAGAAAAAAAACTCAACAGATTTTTGTCGATAACAGTGGCATAACGGACGTTAAAATAGACGACGTTTCGGGCAGTGGTCCTGCTGCATGGCAGGGAGGAGACAGAGGGAAGAGAAAGAGGGGACTGTGGGACAGGAGGCTCACCGGGGTTGAAGAGCAGCAGGTACTTGAGGCAGACGAACTCGTGGCTGTCGACGTGGAGCGAGCGCAGCTTGGAGACGAGTTCCTGGGCACGGCACAGCAGCGACTGCAGACCCTCGCTGGCGTGCGCCGACACCGAGAACAGGTCCACCTGCCACCACCGAACCACCACCACCACCACCACCGTCACCGATCGGCCACGAACGCCTCCCCAAGCCATCGCTCACAGTTGCCGCGAACGTGACCATCCGTCCGGCTGCACGCGCACGAACCGAATTTGTCGCTCCATCTCCGCGGTGGGCGTATTTCCTCCCCCCAACATAACCCCGGCACTGCATAGCTATAACTCTCTGTAGTTAATCTCGGCCATTGGCTGTCGTCCTCTCGAGCGACGCGCCCTGCACAAACTCGCTCACCCATCGTCACGGTGGCGAGATGTTAACTCCCTCGCCTGGTACGGAGGAGGTCGGCGGTTCGAACCCGACCCTGACGCCTGCTGCTGTATATTTGGTGTTTGCGTGTCTCTCTCTCCCCGTGGTCGCGTGGATCCTCCGGGTTTTCCCTCCACATTCAGAATCATCGTCACGCTTTTAGAGTACTTGGCTGCTATACATTTCCACGTGATAAGCCACTTTGTTAAGCTATCATTTATAGCCAGGCAATGTCTGAAAAAGAGCTATTTAGCTCAGTGGCCTTTCCTTGGTAAAATAAAAAAAAATGTGTTTAGTTTATTGTTTCTCTGATCCACGTCTTCCTCTTACTTGGAGTCATTATCTTCCTTTATGGCAGGTTGAGTACCATCATCTTCACCTTATGACCATTATCGTCAGGTCATGATCATCATTTTCATCATCATTTCCGCCGCAGGGGCAACGCACCTGCTGCCCCGTGACCAGGAGGATGGCGCCGTCCGTGCCGTGCTGCACCTGCCGCTGGATGTGGTCCATGACCAGCAGGTCGCTCCAGCAGTTCTGCAGCAGCTTCATCTGATCGTCCACCTGCCCACGAGCGCAACGCACGCCACGCGTCAGCCACGGACAACGGCAGTGGCGAGCGGCGAATGCGAACAGAGGCGGCCTCCGTTCGACAGCCCGCATTCTATCCGACGTTCCACGTTCACTGGGAAGCCATGGGCCTTCATCCGGCAGTGGATTTCACTGACGGCTGTGATTTATAACTGTAATTGTTATGAAAGCAAAAAAACATGGTACCAACAGCGAAACTCATTCAAAATGCATATGTGAACCGATCACGCGAATAATATGTAACATTATGGAACCTGAATAATATATTGACGTATTAATATATTTTAAGATAAGGAAATCTGAAAAGTGTTTACATCCACACTATCGAGTCGTCATTACCATGACCATCACCACCATCACCTCCTTTGTATGGATCATCAACACTATCATCGCCATCATCATCATCATCACTACCACTCTTAGCACCTTTGCAATAATTATCACCACCACCACTACCATCGAAAGCACAACTTGAAAATAAACATTGCAAACACGTTCACTTAAGATCCTCCGAATGGTCTTTCGACGAGATTAGCGGGAGGATTTGAAGGAGGCACGTCAGCTGAAATATTATCCGCATTTTTTTCTGACCAATGATTTAAAAAAATGTTTATATAATTGAGCCCTTTGCCGCCTCCGTGGCACGTGCACGTGAGCTCTTGCGCGTGCGTCACGGCACGGCCGCTGCGACCCACGCCCTCCGTTACAATCCCACCGAGCCAAGTTCGACTGCTACCCCTGGATGCCGTGGAATGGCTCGAAAAATTAACAATGAAATTATATTTCTGTTGCTGTTTTCAAATGGCAAGCGGTTTCTAATCCTGACCTGAACCTCTCCGAGGTCAACTCAGCCTTAAATGGAGTCCTAGATGCAACGTGTAAAATGTCGGTGATGATGACGATGATGACGATGATGATGGTGATGATGACGATGATGGTGATGATGATGATGATGACGTTTCCATTAAAAAAAAATGTATCCATTTCGAAACTAGAGTCCATCCGTGTTAAGCCACGGCTATGCCCCAGAGCTTTGATTCACTTTGGGCAGTGGCGGTGGACGGCGGCGGTAGTGGCGGTGGCAGTCGGGTGTTCACGACATTCTGGGGGTGCGCGTGCGACTCTCCAGTCCAAGGTTCGATGGCCATTGACCTGGCCCGTCGTCGACCCCACGTGTTCGATAAAAGTGTCTCTCGGGAACATTGTCAAACAAGCACGGCGTTCAGCACAGAGTACGTCCTGTCTGCTCGCGTCCCGGGCGTAACGATAGCCGGTGACATTGTTCACAAGAGCGGGCAATACGTGTGCCGTGCAACGACGAGCAAACACGCGAGCGCAGCCGGAAAGCAGACAACACAAACACATGCGAGCCGCGGGCCAGCAGAACGCGCTGTCTGTGGGAGCACGTGTCAACTTGGCACCAAAGTGAACGTGGGAGTTAAATTGGTGAAACTTGCATTTTGTCAGATCTTCGATTTTTGAGTGTCCGATTAAAACGATGTATCAGATATTCAACGTTTCAATTTGAGGAAAGGAAATGTTGTATTTTAGAGCCAAATTAGAATTTTCAAATGAAGCTGTCGAGTATGAAATGACTCATTGACGGTGGACAAAAAAACACAAAGACAAACATCCCCCGTACATCCTTAACAGACTGTTGGGGCAAGTGCTGCCAGCGAGCAACCTATGGAGGTCGGCACGGCGCACGAGGGTGTGGGCGGCCAGCGCCACGCCCGGCCGCCTTTGTCTCCCGAGTGGTGATGATTGAGTCGACCTGACATACACACACACACAAATCCCCCACCGTCGCTGGCAGGACGCACTCCAATGCAAACACGAATCTCCACGTCTTTTACGCTGGTAGCTAGACGAGTAAGCAATGGCGAGATGCCACTGCCGTACAAACACACACGCACGTGCCCATTGCACTCAAACACGTTCGCATAACAAGCAAAGCAGAAATTCTAACACAACTAAACAGGCAACCTGGCCGCAAGTATTGTGGTTAATGCAGACGTGATTCATTGTAAAAGGTTTCAGTTTGGTGTTTTAACATCTTAACACAGCTGTTTTGTAGCCAGAAAAAAAGGGGAAAAGCTAATCTCAAGCCTGTATGTATTATTAATAGAAAAGAAAAAGTCACGTCTCTTTATATATATATAAAGTGCTGGGCCTGGGACAAGCATTCCGTTTGCGTGCCCTTCCCTGGAATCCGTTGCTCGTGGTGTGGAAACGTTACTCCGACAATGCGCCACATTCATCGGCGCGATAACGAATGAAGCAATCCGCGAAACCTACGCGGACGAACGCGAAAACCGCTACAAGGAAGCGTGGGGACTGCCGTGCGAGCGGAGAAATATACGACTGGCGGCCGGAGCTCGAATTTTCACGGCTCGCGGAGCCGAGATTCCTCCGAGTGCCTCCTCCGTGTGAGAACAGCACCGGCGGGTCAGTGGGAACGGCTTTAATTAAGAGAGGGAGGCACTCGCTGTCCGCGATGAAATGTTTCCAAAAGGAGAGGAGGGCCTGCACGCGGGAGAGATAGGCGCAGCAAGTGTGGGGAACTTGAAAGTGCAAAAAATAAACACCTGATTAAGAGCATTATTTCTCCCAAGCGCAGGTGCGCGGTGGGGAGGGGCTAAAACAGTAGCGGCCCTGTCCGAACGCTCATCGGTATGAGTTCGTCGTTGTCAATGTTTTGCTTCGAGATCCTCCTCCCCCCCACCCACAACCCACCTCTTTCTCTCTCTATCCGGCGCAAAGCGCCCGAACGGCAGAGAATTGCAGGATTCACTCCGCGTCTCCCTCGCGCCGTTTATCAGCGGCTTGTAGCGTTTATCGGACTTCATCGCGACCGCCCCACCGGACCGACATACCCCGGACCGACAAAGGGGCACTGTTTAATGTTTTAATTAAGCGTGAGCTGTGCGGATGCTTGGGCCTTTCTCCAAAGCTGCGCTGCCATCCGCTCCCCGCCCCCCTCCCGTGAAAGCATTCAGAGGTCGCACTTCTCCGCGCGTGTCCGGACAAGCAGAAAGCGCGGTTATAAAACTAAAACCCAACGATTGTTTTTTTTCTTTACCCAAGACAATCTTTGAACGCCCGCCAAATATTATTTCATCTCAGATACATCCTTGACTAATTTCCGGAACATTCTTTTCGGCGCACAATTTTTCAGAATTTCGTGGCCACGCTTTCTGCGGATGTGTCTAAGAGGAGCGGATCGGGCTGACGGCAAGGCTCGTCGATTCATTAGACGGCCCGCGCGTCTCGATGTTTACAACGCCGCGTAACCGTTCGTCGCTTTCAAGCCTCAAAAACACAAAAGGACGCTGCGTGCAGGAAGTCAAAAGAAAAAAAGCACCGGGGAGAAAAAAAATCGAGTGGCAGTCGAGAGAAGGGAACACACACGACCAGGACGGAAAAAGTGGGAGACGGAACGGGAAAGTGGGAGACGGAACGACAGAGGCGTGTGCACGAGAGAGAGGATTACAGCTGCACAGGACGGTAGGCGATGATGTCACTTGACAGAGCAGCAGGGAGCCTCAACATTGAAGACCACGAGTTCAAATCCAGAACAGGGTTTGGCTCATTCTCATCCCTCCGGGGGCCGGTAAAAAATGAGCGCCATATGATGATCCAAGAAATGTTTGTGATATCGTAAATGGGCGGCGCCCTGATCGCTGCCATAGGAATGTGGAATATCCACCACTGATTGAGAACCACCAGGGGAGATGAGCGCCAATCAAACCAACGCGAAATAGCGCACGAGGGGAGGGTGGGGGTCGCTATTTAAGCGTTTTTGGGGGGGGGGGGGGTTAAACGACAAAACCGGGCAGAGTGGGCGAATGGAATGACAAAATCGTCTTTCCCACAGTTGGCGCGCCGCGGAGAGAAAGCCAGAGAAAGAGGTGACATCTGCCGCGAGGCCTGCCGTGGTTTTTTTGTCCGGCGCACGTGCTGCAGATGGATATTGCATTGGCGAGTCGCGGGTCCAATCGCGTGAAACGAGAAGGTCGGGAACCAGCGCCCGAGCCGATCCCACCGCTGAGCGTTGATCAGCGGGCACAGGAAAAAAACCCGGCAACTTCCCATTTAATACGTATCGAAGCTCAACATCTGGCACGCAGTTCACAGGACACGGCCAACGGCTGCCGCGTTGAGTTGGGGGATCTGCGCATTCTCCACCGGTCTCCTCTCCCTCCATCCGCTCGCTTTGCCTTATCTCCCAAGCCAATAGAACATCGGCGGAAGGCAGCAAGTGGACCGTACTGGATTTGTCACAACTATGCCCAGAGTTATTCCAGGAATTGCGGAATTAAAATTATCGTGGTGAAAAAAAATGTAAGTTAATCATTTAAATTTAAAAAAAAAATCTGCGGCCGGGAAAAAATACAATTAAACTCAATCTTAAATTAAACTCGCTTTAAAAATGTGCTGACCTGTAATTTAATTAAAGGGAAGCCAGGGAGGGTGTAGAGTGAACTCTATATCTCTGGCCTCTCTATTGATATGCTCTGAAAAAGGGCCTTTGCCCGAAACGTCGCCTACTATACACTTTACCATTTACGGTCACCGGTGTTATTGACGATCGTGTTGAAGTTTGTTGTAGATTTACGCGGAGCGATGAGATAACGTCAGAACATTTATATATACGACCGCTGCAATCATATATAAGCAATGAGTATTTTTCTACCACGAATAATAAGCAATCATTAATGTACGTATAAATCAACCCATAATCAGAAGAAGCCATGTCTACGAGATTTTAACAACACTGCGTTGCGTTAACACTTCATATATATGGTAGTAATGAAAAGATAGGGAATGCGGTTTAGTGCTGCAGATCATTGTTTGTGTGTGTGGGAGCACTTGCGCAAGAGTGTATGTCCGTATGAATGTGTATGTAAGTGAATGTGTGCGAGTGTGTATGTATGTATGTATCGACTCGGCCTCAAATGAGTACCTGGTGC